TTCTTTTATGCTATATTTGTAGCAATATACTGTAGACACAATATACTGTAGTTGCAATATTTTTATCAGTTATAGTTAACTCTGTTCAAACCTCTTAATCATAATTTCTTCGATAGCAGAACAAACTTCACTTGACAGTTTTGTATCATATAAAAGTGCTACAACGAATGAAGATTCTAGTCCAGAGGAGTCAGATAATAATTCTAGCCTAGAAGAGTTATATGATCATAACTCAGATGAGTTTAATGATGATAATATAATCTTAAGAAATTCAACGAATGTGTCCTCATCCTCTGCAGCTACTACTTCTTCACGAATACCTGCAAAGAGAAAAAAAGTAGTGTCTATTTATAGAAAAAATAAAACTGTTAAAAGCTGGGTATAGAAATACACAAGAAAAGATAAAATTACGAAGTTTAAATACTGTGATGTTGAAGTAGATAAGAGTAATGATATTTTAGAAAAATGCAATACTGAATTTAAGCCCCATACTGCAGTTACCAATATCGCTTCACATTTGCGTACAGTACATAGAATTTATAAAGACCAAAAACTTGATGCACCTATAATATCTCCAGTTGAAAGCACTAAAAAACCACAAACAATTAATTCTATGTTAGAAAATACACAACCATTTGCTGAAAAAAAGCAAATTCGTGCTACTTATCGTTTAGTATCCTGGTTAGTTGAATTAATGATGCCTTTAGACTGTATTAACCATGATCGATTTAGAGATTTTTGTTATGAAGTTAGTCCTCAATTTGAAGTTCCTTGTACAAATACTATTAAAAACAAAATTGCAGAGTCAGTAATATATACGCGGTCAAATTTGGAAAACTTAATAAATGAAACTATGATATTAGTGTATATTACAACAGATCTGTGGACGCATAATCATACTCCATTCATTGGTATAACTTCCCACTGGCTTACAGAAAATTTTACAATGCACCAAGCATTAATTACAATTGAGCACTTTGAATATCCTCATATAGGTGACCGTATTGAGGATTTTCTACGTACAATTCTTACTAAATGAAATATAATTGATAAATTAATAGTAGTAACAACAGATAATGCTGCCTCTATGATAAAAGCAATTAGGCAACTTGGAGTTTCTCATTTGGGGTGTGCAGCTCATTCTATTCACCTTGCTATTACAGATGGATTGAAAAAAGGTAATATTCTAATTAATAAAGCAAAAGCAATAAATAATTTTTTAGTCAATCGTGATAAGTATAGATCAAGGTTTTATAAAGTTCAAACTGAGATAATTAAAAAAAAGAACATATCTTCAAATTCAACCAATCAATCTATTACTTTATTAGATCCTATTTCAAGTGATATTAGTACACGATAGAATTCTACTTTTCTTCTCCTTCAAAGAATTTTAGATCTTCATGAAACAATTGTGGCATTAGCTAATAACTTGATGAAAGACCCTGATAGAATAACTCGAACAGATGGAAATAAGTTAAAAGAAGAAATTATATCAAATGAAGATTGGGATGGATTGGCAGAATTATGTAATCTTCTTTACCCTTTTGCTCGAGCATCTGTTTATCTAGGTAGTAATCAATATCCAACATTAGGAACAATATATCCTACTATACAACGTCTTTTTAAACATCTTAACCAAATTGAAAAGGAAATTACTCACCCAACTGTTTTTGAATACATAACTATATTTATGAATCAATGACCAACCACTGGAAGGATCCTAATATGACTGGATGGCTTGCTATGATTTTAGATCCACGATTTAAATCACTATCAGGTGTATTATCTACTAAACAGAATGAAATAATAAATGAGCTACGAATAAGGGTTGATCAGACTAATGAAGACTTGCCTAATATAGTTAACTTGCATTCAATATCTGATATGTCTTCATTTTTTGAGGATGAACCTGAATTATCCTCTTCTCCATTTGATGTTGAATTGCAGGTGTATTTTTCTATTTCGCCGATTCCTAAGTATGAAATTACTGATCTATTATATAAAACTTGCAGTCCATTAAGTTGGTGGAATGAACATAGAAAAACTTTACCATTACTTGCTAAACAAGCACAAATTTTTCTTGGCATACCTGCTACGTCTATACTAGCAGAAAGACTCTTTTCTAGTACGGGAAATGTTTTGACAGATAAATGTAACCATTTAAGCACGGATATGGTTTCCGACTTGCTGTTTTTAAAAGAAAATTCCTCAGTTATGAATGTTTATGTTGGGTTGTAAAAAAAAAAAAGGTTATTTAGTACTTAGCTTTTTTTTTTATCAATATTTTTTGTTTTAAATATTATAAAATATATTTTTTTTTGCTAAAGAATGTTTTAATAAATTTTGCAAGTATTTCTTAAATTTGATTTACGTATGTATTAGAGTTATTTGAGCATAATGATAATCTAAAACACTTGCTCAAAGATTAATCTGCACTAGTTACATATATACGTATAAACTCTATATATATTACACAAATCATGCATTTATTAATATAAGATACTGTATTACGTATAAAAAAAAAATTTTCATTTTGGACTTTATAAAGATTAGTCGGTTAAGTCGGCTAAGTCTGCTTTTATAAATACGACTTAGTCAGTCGATGGTTTAGAGATCGACTAATAATACTATTCCAGAATCTTTAGCAAGTTGGCATTGATGCCTGTAGCACTATTAGAAAAATAGCATCTGGGTTTCTAAAACAACTGAAGATAAAAAAAATATCTGGCTTGATTGGGATATACATTCTGATATCATAGTAAATAGAGTGTTGGCTGTATTTTGGCAAGACAATAGTTTAGTCACTATGTTGTCGACAGTTCATGGTTTTGCTGGTGATGAATGAGAAGTAAAATATGAATGATAGTGGCCAAGAGAGACCAGTACTAATGAAACAAAAGTGCATATAGTTTTTGGCTCTGAATCAAAAAAATATTAAAAATTCCAAAAATAATCAATGACTACAACCACTACATAAATGGTATAGATATTGCAAACCAACTATGGTTATATTATAATATCCAACAAATGGTGCGAAGGAACTGGATACTGCTTTTTTTTTGGCTGCTATATATTATAATCATTAACTTGTACCAGATTGCCCAAATCCTAAATTTAACACAAGAGCATAAAGAATTTCACCTTGAACTTGTTTAGAATTTAATAAATATCACAAATAATATCAGAGAAATTTAGCTAAGAGATGAACCAAAAAAAAAAAAGAAATCTGAGCAAAGAAAAAAAAAATGAAATGAAATGATTAAGAGTATCAAAGTATTTTGAGCTTTCAAACCAATGGTTTGTACTTGATAACTATTTTCTAGAATAGAAAGAGAGACAAGAAACATATATGTGGTATGCGTAGTTGGCAAGTAAAAAAAATTTGGATTTGGATCGTAAAACGCTATATCAAAATCAGCTTTGGTGTGTTATATATGATGTATCTCTCTGTTGCAATAATAATCAAAATTGTTTTTTAGAATTTCATATCAAAAATTTGCAAAGATAGATAATAATACTGCAATATATAACCTTGCAGATTGTTATCAAAATGGAATAGTGATTGAATAAGATTAATATAAGGTATTTATTTATTAATAAACACCTGCTGAAATGTGAGATGTTAGTGAAATATTTCAAATCAGCTATGTTATCAAAATAAAATTAGGATATCTCAAGTCAGGTTGTGCTATTAAAATAGAATTTGGACAATTTCTAAATGCTTAATTTTATGTAAATAAAAGCAGTTTAAAAATTAACTTTAATGTGAGAATTTAGATTTTAAAATTTTACAAATCGATAGTTCTGATTTACACAATTAAACGATAATATAAAATTTTATTATGAATATGTATCTATATTACATAGTAATTTTGTTTTGTATGAATTTTAAAATTCTATAGCTAAATTTACAAAGTGATTCTAAGAGTTTAGTTCTAATGAAATATTCTACAACATGGGCAAAGCATATCACGTAGTTTTTAATTTGTACTCATAGTTTGGGTCACATAGCATATAGCATGATATAATTGCTAGATTTTCAAATTCTTTGTATTCCTAAGTATTATTCTAGCTAATTCAGATTAGTATTTCTATAAAAAAATTTTGGCAGAGATTAGTTTTTTTCTAATTATTTAAGCAGGCAAATTTGCCTGATTAATCAGATGGTTTAAAAAATACTAAAGATTTTTTATATAACCAATGTAAGAGCAAAATGGTTCAGATCTTTGAATAGCAATTAATATCGATTTCTCAATTTAGCAGCCTTAAAATATTAAAAAATATATTAGATATAATACGTATTATAGCTAATAAACTGTAAAATATCATAAAAATAATAATTTTTGCTCTTGATAATCTATATAAAGATTATAAAAAGCTAAGAATTAGAATAAACAGTTATACCAAGTTTATTACAAATTCTTTAGAATATATATTATCACCTGTGAAGAATTGTTTACTTATAATTCTTGTAACTAGCTTCAAGTATAAAATAAATACTTGGTTTTTTTAAAATATTAGATTACTAATGATTAATTTCACAGACCTTTATTTTGGATTGGATCCAAGAATTCATTGAAATATTTTCAAAATTTGCTCAAAATGATCTTTAGCTTCCGAAACTTCATGCTTGATACTATTATATAGTACTTGCAATTAAAAAATATAGATTCATAAATAGTATGATCACAGAAACTTATAAAACTCTTTATATAAATTATGTAAAAATTCCTTATCACATATTCAATAAAAAAGATTATATAAAACAAATATTAAATACTGTAAGTTTTTAAATATAGTAAATTATTACTAAACATTGCTAATAATTATAATCAATAGGTTAAATGACAAAAACTAACTGAAAAAAGAGTTCAAAAGAAAAATTATAAAGCAAAAAGGTTTGGTAAATCTTTGTAGTTATTAAGTTTAGATAAGCTGAATGATTTCTTTGAGAATAATAAGAATAATATAGACCTATTACAAGTTGAAGGTTTTCAAAATTTACTAACTGGTCTTGATGAATTTTTTGAAGAAGAATCAGTAATATCTCTAAATGATAATAATTGTATGAAGATATTTTCTTCTGCTTCTTTAGAAAGTATCAATATAATTTGAGCTATATCAAGTTTTCATAAAAGCTCGATGTTTTTAATATTATTGTAAAAGAAAGTAGCAAAAAAAAAAAATATTTTGGTATAGTTTGGTAAGTATCAATATATTTTATAAGTTATTCTATTAATATATATCTAACAATAAATACAATAAAACAAATTAATAATATTAATAAGCATAATAATTCTTAAAGTTAAAAATAGGTTTATTTTTATCTAATTTTAACTAATATGAATATTATCTATCAAGGTACTGCTAATACTTAAATTTAATTAAGCAAATAAAAAGCTACTTAAATTTGCTTTAATCTATTAGGACGATAAAGATAGTGAACTATAGGGATATCTCAAATTGAAGCAGCTAAAATACTATAGTTATATACCATTGGAGAGCATAGATAAAACTATACATATAATCCTGAAATTTAATAGAAGGAATAAATATTTAGCAAACAATTTTATGTTCTAATTTAAGGTATATATTTAAAGCTTATTAATTTAATTGTCTATATAATTAATTTAAAGTATATATGTAAGATATATATCAATTGATAACAATATTCGAATTATAGTGATTAAATAAATTCGTTGTTTATTGATAATTATATAATTATCAATATATATCTATTTATCGATACGTACTAATTTTAATTATATATTAATATATAATTGGTTTATCAATATATATCAATTATTAACTATCGATATACTGTATATTGATTTTCTGTTATATATTGATAGATATCTTATAAAAAAGTTTTTTAATAAAATAAAAACAAAAGGATAAACCAAAACAACAAACAACAATAATGATCAACAATAACAGAAAAACAAGTCATATAAAATATTTAGTGATATTAATAGAAAGCTTAAGAAATTAGAAAAAGCTAAAGTATAATTAGAAAAAGCCAAGATATAATCAGAAGTCTATATAAACAAAACAATACAACAAATAATAATAATAACTAAAACTAATGAAGAAGTAACAATTTATATAGAACAAATATTAGCAAAATATGCTAGAAAAAAATATTATAAAAAAAAATCTGAAGCACAGATAGAAAATCTGTATGAAGAATTATATCAATATAGAAGAAGAAAATTACAATATATAGAACTTGCACTTAGAAATAAAAACTATTATTATTACTATATAGTAGTGTTCTGAAGTTCAGTTTAGTTCAATTTAGGTTCAGGTTCAAGTTCAATTAAACCTGAAACTGAACTTTAAATTTTGCAGATCTTTGAACCTAAACCAGAACTGAACTTTAAATTTATGAACTTGAACTAAACCTGAACTCAATGTTTTGGTTCAGTTCAAGTTCAGTTCAAGTTCATGAACATGTTCAAGTTTAATGAATTATATATATATATTATACAGTATATTGTTAAATAATCTACCTTCAATAATAAGCTATTTTCTTTTTTTAGAAAAAAAACAAAGTTTCTTAGATCTAAAAATAAGCTATTTATTTAATTATTAGTAGTTACTCTATAGTAAAGTTAAAATTTTATTAAGTAAATCGATCTACTTTATTAAGTAAAAGTTGTTCATAAGATTAAAATACATATATTTTAAAAGTTTCATCTAAATTGAATAACTTTTTATTAATCAATTTTCGTATATTACGATTGATGAATTTTTTTAAATTTTTTTAAAATTTATATTCGTCGAAAGTAAAAATCAAAAGCAATTAATAAAAACTTATCTGATTTATATAATATTTTCAAAATATATGTATTTTGATCTTCTGAACAACTTTCACTTAATAAGGTAGATCAATTTACTTAGTAAAATTTTAACTTTACTATAGAGTAACTACTAATAATTATATAAATAGCTATTTTTAAATCTAAAAAATTTTTATGTTTTCTTCTAAAAAAAGAAAATAACATTTTTTTTTACTTTTTTTACTTCAGCGATCCTACTTTTATTTATTAAATCAGCAGTAAATTACAAATCTGCTCTTAGTTAGCTAAACCTACATACAAATCGTTAAGATACTATATGCCTGTTCAAATAAAATTCTCTCAATTTGTCTCACTATCGCAGTAAAACCATGGCCAAGACCAAGAATTTTATGCTAGAGTATGACCCAGGAGTGACCTGCCTAAATGACAATTTCCTCCTTCCAGAATCCTCAACTACTGAGGATATGAGCCCTGGATATCAACAGATGGAAATACCGACCTTGTCAGAATCACTACTCTACAATAGAGTGCTACCAATCTGATGACACTTTCTCGTAGAGAAGTAAAAAAGAAAAAAAAAGAGGTAAGAGTAAAATGAAAAAAGGGGAAAGTAAAAAACAAAGACATATAAGAAAATGACCAGACTAAAAAGGAGTTTAAAACACTATACTAAAATCTAAAAGAACTTGTATACAGATATAAAAACTTGCTAACCAGGTAAAAAACTATCTACATAGTTGTAGAAATCTATACATAGAGCTATCTGACAAAAAAGAAACTATGAACTAAAATGCACTTTAGCCTGTGCAAAGAACTAAAAATTATATGCATATAACTTCAAAATATTGTATATCTCTACTATATTGCTCCAGTTTACAACTCTTATATAATTCACCTCGAATCCTAGAATGCTGATTTTAAAGCCTCGACACGTGATCGTCAGTTCCATTTATAACAGGTTGCTTTTTTTGATTTTACAAAGATCCTCTTATAGTTTTTCTTATCACCTTGCTTCTTCATTATACGAGATTAAACAGGGGTCTTCTCTACAGTCTACTGGCATTATTGAAAGCTACTCCCTCAGGTCCATTGTATAGAGCATTTATTCCTGTATAGTTAAAACGATTCAAACACAGGACTTCCACGTACTTCAATCTAGCCAAAATAGAACTTTCTCCTTACACATAATTGTTGTGTTCTTTATTCGTTATATCATAACTCGAGACTTTCCAAAATTGGAAATATAAACAATGCTGATCTTTTGGAGAAAGGTAGCAAATCCCCTACTTTTTGTTAAAAATTATGAAAAAAGAAAACGGCAGAAGAAAGTATAGTTTTGTGAGTTTTCCAACCAAGAAGTGTTGTTCCAAGAGTTCTTCATAGCCTTCTGTTTCCAAAATAACTTGAGTCTTTTCTCTACTTATTGTTCTTAGAGACTCCTCTGGTTTGGATGCTGAATATAAAAAGGAGTCCACCTGAGAACAAAATAAGGCTTAACCCCTTTGCAAACCGTCCAAAACGCCTGCTCCTCAGTGTATCATGTTTAAGACTTCATTGACAACAGTTCGTATTAAGAAAACTTCAAGTTATTTGTTTACTTCTAGTTTTGAGTCTTCAACTTGCTTTCAAGAGCTACTTGGTACAAGTAATTGTCAGAAAGAGTTTTGTCTATATAATTTCTGAAAAAAATAACTTATTATTAGAAGTAAATTATTTTTGATAATATATAATATATACATATACTGTATATATATGTCATGCTCCAAATGACAATTTTCCCAGATGACAATCTGGCCAAAATTATAAATTAATTAGCTCAGACATTAAGGTTAGATTTGGGTAATTTTAATTTGGGCTGTCCCAATTGGCAATCAGGACAGGATTATCATTTGGGGTACAACATATATAATTCATTGAACTTGAACATGTTCATAAACTTTTGAACTGAACCTGAACTGAACCTGAACTTGATTTAAAAGTTCAATATTGAATCTAAACTGAACTTTTTTTAAAAAAAGTTCAAGTTTAAGTTTAGTTTAATTTTAAACTGAACTTAAACTTGGCCAAAAGTTCAATTTAGTTCAGTTCATAGAAACACTAGATATATCAATATTATTTACAGCAGGATAAAAAATATCTATTTATTTCTCAACTATATAGCCTATTGTTTCAAATATTTTTTTCTGATATATTAATATAATAAAAATAATTTGAATCAAAAATATTATTTTTTGAATAGCTGAGAATAGATTTTTTTACTCTGGTTTACAAACCTAATTAGTATTAAAAATCTTTTTTAAAATTTATTTTTTCATAAAAACAAATTTGTTTAATTAATAATACTATAAATAACTAATAATAATAACTAATAATGCAAACCCATTTTTTTGATTTACAGGATCTATTTTTTTTAATTCAACAAAAAAGCCCTCTTTTTTTTACTAGTCCCCTAAGTCACATGACTATACTACATAATAAGTTATACAAACATCTGATTATGCATTATATAAATATTATATTATATGAACTATTACCTTTTAATTATATATTATACGAATATGCATGTATGTATATACGTATGTTTGTACGTACGTAGTTAATTGTATATTATACGAATAGTCTGATTATATATTACATAAAGTAATATTACACAAATAGTTATCAGTTATTGTTATTTGAACGTGTATAGGTATTGGTAAAGTCATAAATAGTATTAAGGTTTTGTTAGTGACAAACTAAATAAGGAAGCAATAATGATAAGTAAAGAGTATCTTACCTACAATATGCAGTTGTAAATAGAATAAACATAGTATAATGATCAAAAGCAAAACTCAAATCAGTTAATAATTACACTATGTGAATGAATACAAATACTGTATAAATACAAGTTTTGCCATTTGGAATTAAGACTCATTATTATATTTTATAAATACTAATTTTCAAAAGTATATCGTTTAAATATCAAAGTTGAAAAAAAAGTAAATTAAGCAATATTAATTTATAAACATGGTACTTGTATTTAATAATTATTTTTACCAAATGTATTATCATATTTCAATACAACCTCTAAAACAAAAATTAAAAGCATAATTATTTAATTGAAAATTGAATGAATATAGAATTGGTGTTGAAAAATTAAGCATAAAGTATTCTTTAAAAGCCAAATAAGATGTATCATGTTGAGGAAATAAACTTTTTGTAATTTTATGAAATTGGTAAAAGATTTAAAATAAGTATATTTAGATTTAATTTATATAAATTTATTTAAGAAAGCATTTCTTGTATTATTTATTTATTTATTTATAAATATATAATAAAACTATTTATTACATATTATAATTATTAATGTGATATTTCTAGTTTTTTATATTATCAGGATCTAAAATTTTAGATGCTATCAGGATCTAAAATTTCCAATTCAATATTGCAAGATTTGGCCTTGTTCTTTTTGCGATCAAACTAACCAACCAATTTAGTTATATTAATAATATCATTATCGTCTAGACAGATGTTTCTAGCTTGATATTTCTTGGCAAATTCCTTCTGATTTTAACTTACACTTTGTGTTTCAAAAAGCTCTTCTAAAGCAGGATTGTCAATTTTTCTTCTCAGTGTTGATAGCGAAACAATTTCAGTATTTTCATCGTGTGAATTTGACTAGAAAATACAATTAAGCATTAAAAAAAAGATGCCCAAAGTTTTCCTAATATCAAACATGAATAAAATTTATTTATATATCCTAATGCACTTTTGCGTTTATTATTTTAGATTTTTTTTAGTTCGACGCTATTCTACAGAATGTGGTAAATTTATATTTTCAAGAGCTATAATGAGAACTAATGGCTTAATTATTTAATAGCAAGTTAATACAGAACGTATTATTTGATTACTTTAAATATATAATAGTAAATTATACAGTACATACATTTTTTGGTTTGAGTTGAATAGGAGAAGTAAACAGTGATTCTGGAATATTATTATTAGTACTTGGTATAAGTATTATATTTTGATCATGGCAATTTTCTGTTATAATGGATAACTTCGTAGAATTATTTAAATTAGTTTCATGAATATTTGAAGTAAATAAGCTAATATCTTCATTAAACATATGGGTGTTATAATAATTATCTACAGACTAAAAAATATTAATTAGTATAGTATACAGTATTAATTTAATCTATATTAATTAATATCTACCTTATTTTTAACAATTATTTGATCTTTTGTTCCGACATTAACTTTTGACAAGCCAACAGTAGTATATCTTCGTTTTGGAAGTTTACTAGATCTATAAGGATCTTTTTCATTAATTGGTTTCTCAGTTAGTAAAAAAATATTATTCCTATTTGTTTGATGCTTGCGTAAAATTTTTGCAAAAGCCTCTTTAATAGTTTCATTATAGATTACTTTATTTTTCATATTAGGCAGTATTGTTTGTTCTTTATTTCAAAAATATTGAACTAGCTTATTTTTTATCTG